TCTGTCTGAACAAGGGCACTGCCCGGGAATGGCCCATGCGAGGAGGGAGTGCAGGCCAGGGGGCTCCCTTTGCCATTCCGGTCACAGGGGCTTCTGTTTCATGACCTAAATGCCGATATGCATCTTAGGAAAATCTAGAAAAATGGAAATGACTGAAAAGAAATGGCGATACGGGAGCAATTTCTGAGGAAGGAGATGAGAGGAGAGCAGGAGCTGTCCATAGATAGGGGAGAGGAAGGGCTGAGGGCAGATGCTGAAAGGCTGCAGAGCGGCATCTTGGGACCTGGAGCAGTGGAGAGCAGGGCAGCAGCCGGGAGGGGGCGGCTGGAAGCAACTCTAGAGCCAGAAGGAAGCAGGGCTGAAGAGGGGCAGACAGATGAGAGGAGAACGGGGACAGAGAAAGAAGCTGGATGGATGCAAAGGGTGTAAGCTGAGACATGGCATGAGCTGAAAGTCTGATGGGTGAGGGGGGAGGGAGGGTGGGGGAGCCATCAGAGGCAGGCACCTTGCACTGAAGCCTGGTGAACCATTCCTGAAGTTGCAGCACTCCAGGAGGCTGAGACAGGAGGGTTAGTCAAGCCTGGACTGTTTAGCAATATAGCTAGACTCTATCTCAAAGTATAAAAATCAGAACAGGGTTGGAGATGTAGCTTAACACAAAGAATGAAGGGATCCTGGGTTCAATCCCCTGAACTGCAAACAAATAGGGAGAGAAGGGGAGAGAGAAAGAGAGAGAGAAAGAGAAAGAGAGAGAATAAGAGAGAGAGAGAGAGAGAAAGAAAGAAAAAGAAAGAAGGAAAGAAAAGAGGAAGGAAGGCAGCAGGGAGGCAGGCAGGCACCTTGCGGGCAGTTCTGAGAGTGACCACTTGTTTTTGGAAGGCTGCGTCTACCTGAGCTCTCTGTTCCCAGCCTGGGCTGAGCCTGTGATCATTCTCACTCTGCCTTCCCGAGTGCTGATTTTATGGGTCTCGGCTCCATGCCTAAGTCAAATTTCCATGCTCTAACTTTGCTGAAAATGCAGACACCCTTCAAGAGTAACAAAAATAGTCCTTCCTTTTTAAAGCAGGGTCAGGGATGGAATACTGGGATTAAACCTAGGGGATTCCCACAGAGCTCTATGTCCAGCTTTTTTATTTTGAGGCAATGTCTAGCTAAGTTGCTCACGCTGGACATGCTGGACGTAAACTTTTCATTTCTCCTACTTCAGCCTCCCAGAACACCTGATGACTGGCCTAGGCCACCACCCATCAAATGGTTTCTTCCAATAGTCAATGCAAACTTTGTAGTGAGTATTATTTTCTGTTTGCTTTCTGTCAAGGAAAGACAGACCTTTAGCTGAATGATGGACTGTGGCTGTGTAGGTCCAACTTTATGACTCAGTGGATCAGATAATCACCAGCTTGTGATGGGGAACTCAGGTCACGTAGTAACCTACTGTCTTATTCTCACGGGTTCAGTTTCCACTAAGGACCAGAAGCCAGCCAAGAGCTGTTTTTCAAAGGGAGAGTGGTTGTCTGCAAAGGATGGCAGAGGCTTGCTCCAAAACCCAAAAGACCTGCACTTCAATTCACCTGTGGGAGCCTGCCAGAGACTCCAAATAGCATCTCCACCTGCATCTGACACTTCAAGAACCATAGATCCTGATGGATCATACGGCTCTATTGACAGAGCAGCCTGTACAATCCTGGACCTGTTACAGAGCCTTCTCTTATTCTGAGTCCAACTCAAATCTAGCTATTTTCTGAGTTACTTGGTAAATATTCAAAATTACCTTTTATAGAGAATTACTAAATTCCTTACATCTCACAAGTGGTGAGTTAGGATAATCAAATAGATCTGCATTATATATTACTTTAAATAGTTCGCACCAGGAACTATCAGAATTTCTCAGTTTCAGAAGGAGATTTAAATGACATCTTAGACCCCATCAAAGTAGCAAGCAAACTCCCAGAAGTACTATAGCATTAAAGAACTTCACCTTTACAGTTCTATTTCTCCAGAGTAATGTCTGATACCCAATTCTGTATCAATCAATGCTTATTAGAGAAAGGGATTTAATACAAGATATATAAGTATGTGAAGATTTACAAGGTTGCCTTAGCCAAACATGGAGGTCCATGCCCTTAAATCCAGCACTTGCAAGGCAGTAGGATCACCATGAGATCCAGTGGAGTCTGGGTTACGTAGTGAGAACATGTCACAAAAGTAAAAAAAAAAGTGGGGGGGGGGGCTTAAAATGGCCACCCACAGAGTCAGATGTGGCAAAATGCAAAAGGGCTGTTTGTGCATGGGAGATCCAAAGGAGCCGGGTGAAGGCTCGCAGCTCACTGTAGTATCCCAAGCAAGTCCATCTCAGGAAGTTGAAGGGTCTGGAATGGAAGCCAGGAGACAACATCTAAGGAGAAGGGGAAGACTGGGCACCTCCAGAAACAGGTGGGAGCTTTCTTTCTTCCTTTCCCTTTTGTTGCATTTAGGCAGCAAGCCTATTGGTTGCTGTCACTCACACCTAGGGCGGGGCTTCTCTCCAGCAATCCCTTCAGCCACACCCAGAACTACACTGATCCAATGTAGTTGGGCTTTTCTTATTTAGTTAATTATCACATAATGTCTTAGTTAATTATCACAAGACACCTCAGAACTATAGGCACCAGTGGAAGTGTGTGGGTGTGGGCCTTGATTTGTGCTGCTCAAGAAATCTCTTTGTAATAGGTAACTGATTGTGTCAATTTGAGTAAAAAGTACTCAACTTCATGGATTAGCATAGTTCTGGGCATGGAAGACCCACCCTAGGGAGGGTTGTGAAACCCCCCCTCCTAGGAAGGTTGAACCCCCGCCCTAGGAGGGTTGTAATCCACCCTAGGGGAAGGTTGTAACCCACCCTGTGGAGTGTTGTAGCCCAACCTAGAGAGGATTGTAACCCACCCTAGGAGGATTGTAACCCCACCCTAGGGGAGGGTCGTAACCCTTCCTAGGGAGGGTCCGAACCCATCCTAGGGAAGGTTGTGACCCCACTCCATCCTAGGGAGAGTAGCAACCCTCCCTAGGAGGGTTGTAACCCCAGTCTAGGGAGAGTTGTAACCCACCCTAGGGAGGGCTATAAACCCCCTACCCTAGGGAGGCTGGTAACCCATGCTAGGGAAGGTTGCAACCCCATCCTATGATGTTTGTAACCCACATTAGGAGGGTTCTAACCCCACTGTAGGGGAGGGTCACAAACCACCCTGGGAGGGTTGTGACCCACCTTAGGGAGGGCTATAACCCCCCCACACTAGGAGGGTTGTAACCCACCCTAGGGAGGGCTGCAACCCACCATAGGAGGGCTGTAACCCCACCCTTAAGGGGGGGTCATGACCCTCCCTAGGGAGGGTCTGAACCCACCCTAGGGAGGGCTGTGACGACCCTCTCATCCTAGCGGGGCTGTAAACCCACCTTAGGGAGGGTTGTAAACCACCCTAGGGAGGGCTGCAAACCCCACCCTAGGGAGGGTTGCAGCCCAGCCCAGAGAGGATTGTACCCCACCCTAGGAGGATTGTAATCCCACCCTAGGGGAGGGTCGTAACTCACCCTAGGGAGAGTAGCCAACCACCCTAGGGGAGGGTTGTAACCCACCCTAGTGAGGGCTGTAACCCCTCTTCCCTAGGGAGGGTTGTAACCCATCTTAGGGAAGGTGGCAACCCCACACTAGGATGGTTGTGACCCACCCTAGGGAGGGTTCTGACCTCACTCCATCCTAGGAAGGGTTGCAACCCACCCTAGGAGGGCTGTGACCCACCCTAGGGAGGGCTGTGAGGCCTCCCCACCCTAGGGAGGGTTGTAATCCCACTCTAGGCAGGGTTGGCCCAGGAATGGGATAAAAGGCGGCTTTCCTCCTACTCCTCAGACGACCTCTAGTTGCCTCTTTGCTTCCACTACTCATTCTTCAACCTCCAGATCCAGACTTCTGTGAGACACCACGCTAAGCCCCGGACCTTTACCTGGATCCTTCCCACTCTTCAATGCCAGGCTCTGGGTGACCCCTGTAAGTCAATTTTATAAATTCATATATATATATATATAATATATATTATATATATATATATGTATGTGTGTATATCTTGCATTAAATTTGTTTCTCTACTAAGCACCAATTTTTTTTTTTGACAGGATTGTACTAAGTAGTCCAGGCTTTGAACTCGCAGCAACCCTTCTGATTCAGCCTGCCACCTGCTGGAATTCTAGGTGTGCCCAGCCATGCCTCGCCCAAGCATGAATTCTCTTGGACACAAAGGTACCAGATGGGGGAGGATATGTGTCTCCAGTACAGATTCCTAAAGGTAGAAAGGGGCAGTGAACATTGGGCAGAAAAGCTTGGCTAATCTGAGTGTTTTGACTGAATTTTTCGTTATAAAGTCAATGTCACTAGCTTTCTTGTCCACACTCAGGCCCTGCTTTGAGGTTCTATTGTTTTTGAACTCCCAAAATTCCTGCCAACTCTGCTCCCTTCTCTACCAGTCTATGTTTTCAGAAGGGAAAGGACAGAGGGTCAGAGGATCACATATGTTCAGAGTGCATGGTGGACACATACAGTACCTGCTGAGAAGAGAGACAGGACATCAGAGGCCCTGAGGGGAAACCAAGGTGATTGACAGTTTGAGTCCTCCATTGCCAGTCTGGTAGCTAGATGTGTTTTCCTTCAAACTGGTTACCAGATTGGCACCCATGATCACCTCAGGGGCTTCTGATCTCCCTCATGAGCGGGTTCAAAGCTTGTGGGTGTTGGCATGCCAGGGGCAAGAGCTGCTTCTCAGAGATGGTCTCCACTTGTGTCCTCTCTGGAGAAGAAGCATTGGCTTAGGTTCAGTTGAATTACAGAAGCGGGGTGCAGGCAGATCAGAGTCTGTTCTGTGGAGGGGAAGGTGGTGTTTGGGAGAACTCATGGCCACCAGCCACCAACCTCCCGGTGTAAAGACCAGAGTCCCCAGCCTCTCTCTCCTGGGTAGACCCTGAGGTGGTGGTGGTGGATGACGAGATCCCAGGACAATCAGGTGAGGGGGCTGGAGACAGGAGAGGTCCGAGAAGGTGACCAGTAAGAGGGACGGGTGACAAGGAAGGAGGGGCTAATGAAGGCAAAGACAGGAGACAGGAAGGACAAGGATGGCTGTACGGGCTCCTGCCTAGATGTCCCCCAAAGCCTCATGCAGCCACAGTGGGGCTTTTCAGAGTGGCTGGATCTAGAGGGTGATGCTGGGATCGAGGGTGTGTGATCACTAACTCAGTCCACTGATTGGTGCTGAGCATAGTTCTGGGTAGGATTCAGGTGCCTCACCGTGGATAAAATATAAGGCGCAGAAAGAGGCTGGTGCTGGTCGCTTGCTGTTTGGGACTTCACTGCTTTGCTGCTTCTGCCACGCCACAAACTGGTTCTCCTTTGTGATGCCCTCTGCCGTGCCATTGTGCCCTGGAGCCGGCTATTACAAACTGAGCCAGAATAAAACTTGCCTCCTTTCACTGTGGGTGTCTCACCAACAAGAAAAGAAACTAAGACTAAGGCCGATGAATGGAAAAGCTGGGGAGCTGGAAAGGGGTCAGGAGACGAGAGCCAAGAATGAGCAGGGGAGGAGGAGGAGGTGGCTCAGGTCCCCCCTTGATGAGGAAAGCGTCTGGGTGAGGAAAACTTTGTAAGCACAGGGTGAGGGGACAGTGGCAAGAAGAATGGGGCAGATGGAGATCGGCAGGGCTTTGGAGGGGACAACTGTGGAGGAACTTTGGCGTTTACTTCCAAGGAGGGATTTGGGGTGACATGGTTGCTGAGACAATACTGGACACCCAAAGTTAAGAAAGGTTTCCTTCAGCTCACTGCCTGGCTTCCCAGCAGGGTGTATGGCAAAGGGGCATCGCAGAGCAGGCAGGAAGAAGCCACCAGCCAAGCAGCAGCAGCAGCCACAACAGCAAGTCTGCCCTCTTTCTGTCCCTTTATATTCCATCCAGGCTGCAAATCTACTGATTGGTGCCACCCATACCCAGGGTGGGCACCCAACATCACAGCCTTAATCCACCTTCACACACCCTAATCATCACCTTCAAATCTCCCCTCTATGACCACACAAAGTTTTGGGGGACATCGAGGTACAAACCAGAACACATGGTCAAAGGCTGAATTCCAAAGACGATGCTTCACACTGGATCTGGGTTTCTTTCCTCAGGTCTGTTGGTAGCACTCAGCCCCCTATCTTGGGCCTGTCCACAGAAGAGGAAGAGAGATTGCTCCTCAGAGTCTGGGGAGCAGCAGCAGGAGGACCTAGGAAGTCTCCTCAGTGGAGCCCCTAGGCCAGCACCCTTCCTCCTGCCTGAGTTACCTATCCAGAAGGAAGAGCAGGATGCATCCTCTTCAAAATCAGAATCAGAGAAGGAAGAGGAGGAGGGTCATCAGGGGGATTCTGCCTCAGCCTTGAGGGGGAACCCCAGCCTCTCACCTCGGTCCCCTGGCCACAAGTGGAAGAGGGAGTGCTCCTCAGAGGCCAAGGAGGAGCAGAGGGGGGGCCGCTGGTGCTCTGATGCAGCCCCACAGGAAGGCATCAGGCTCCCACCTCGCAAGAGGTGGAGGGAGTATCTGTCCCTGATGGAAAAGGAGCAGCAGGAGTCATTGCGATGCCTACGCCCTGCGCCTTTGACCCACCTGGGTGACATGGAGATGCCCTGTGGCCTGAAGAGGAAGCACCTGTGCTCAGTGCTGCCTGTGCACCACGAGGCCTTCACTCGGCTGCTCGGTAAGGAGACTCCACACAGCACCTCTCCCCCGGCTCTTAGGAGCCTGAGTGACTTCCTGTCCCTTCCTTCACCCGTAGAAAGGATCTCACTGAGCCCTGAGCTGGCCTTCTAGGAGGACTCTAGTGTCATCCTTCCCCAGGGGCACACAGGTGACAGAGAAGGCACAGTCCTCAAAACAGATTTCTACTAGTTCCCAAATGTTCCCATCACAAAGCTTGGTTCTAACCAGCCCACCTGCTAGAGAGGAGCTGCTCACTTTCCTGAATGAAAGTGGATTCATGCAGCACCAGAGCAGGGACGAGGTCCTTGTCACACTGCTGTGCCCATCACGAGAGCAAATGACCAGGATGCCTCTGACTCCCGCAGTGGTGCATTTGTGTGTCGGGGAGGCCCCTGTGACCTCCTGAGGTCCTAACTAGGTGGATGTGGTTTGCTTCCCAGGCCCCACAGAGTAGCTCCTGTCAGTCCCAGGATGAGCCCCTGGTCCCTGGCCATTCAATGTCCTCCTTCCCCTTCCCATCTGCCTGACGCTAGGTCATCTCAGGCAACTGTGGTTCTGTTCTGTGTTCCAATTCCAGGGACTCCTACCTAGCCAGGCAACAAGTTAACACTGTGTTCTCTTCACAGAGGATCCAGTTATCAAGATCTTCCTAGCCTGCGATGAAAACCTGAGGGCCTCTGACAAGGTGAGGTCCTTCTCCCCTGAGCTGGGCTCTCTTGGTGGCACCGCCCAGGGAGGGCAGGTTCCAGCCCCACAGTTACTCCTCTGTCCCTGCTAGGAACTCCTACCTCAGCCTCCACCATCAGTCCCCCTTAGGACTCAGCACCATCTCCCTTCCAGGCCTGGCTGGCTTAGAGGCTGGATGGGCACAGCACCCTGCTCTGCCTGGGTCCTCTGGGACTTGAGTCTCCCTGCATATGGCCTCTCTGGCTGGGGCTACGTGAAAGTTCTGAACCCTCCCCTTGGCTCTCAGGGAACCCATTCGCTCTCTGTTAAAAGATGCCCTCTGATCTAGGTGACTTCAGTGTCCTGTCCCCAAGACACCCTTAAAGTGACACCCTGGGCCTCATAGCCTCCCTTCTCCTTCCCGCTGTCATTTACTAACAATCACCCATCTCTCACTGCCCCAAAATAACCAGGACACCCAACACTAGGCTCTCCTCTCCCTGACTGGGGCCCTGCTCCCCTCTCCCAGTCCATATTTCCACAGCCCTTCTCCAGCTGTGCCTACTGACTGTCCTCTCTCTCAACAGTATCTCCTGGCCATGGTCATCGCCTACTTCAGCCGGGCCGGCCTCTTTCCCCAGCAGTACCAGAGGATCCAATTCTTCCTGTCACTGTGAGTACTGTGCCTCCCCCCACAGGCCATGGTCAGCCCAGAGGGTGGGAGGGGACCCTCACCTGGCCTCTGGCGTTAAACCTCTGTACTGCTGACTGTAGCACAGGGGCGTCACACTGCGTGCTCCCATGCTCCTCTTAGGAATCTTGCAGTCTGCCCTCACATTGGTTAAAGCATGTCACCAGGGGAAACTGAGGCCCCTGACAGCAGAGGCAGGAAGAACCCACATATGGGCATCAACCCTCAGGCCTGAGGGCAGGCATTTCTAACCCTTTAAGGGTTTCCTTCCTTAGCAATACCAAATGTCTCCTTGTCCCCTCCTCTGGATTCCTAGAATCCAGAACCTGGCTCATGCATGCCCTCCTGATAGGCACACACTGAGTATAATGTGCTTCCTGCTGGTCCTTCTGACAAGTCTCTCTGGGAGCCAGGGAGCAGGCTCTGTGTTGCCTGATCAGCCTTCAGAGATGGGTCCTAGGCCCACTTGCCATGTGGCTCCCGCATCGCTAAGTACTTCATGCACACCAAGGCCTAGCTGTCCTCTGGAATTCAGCCGCTCTACAATCTCTACACCCACGCCAGCTCATCATCCTAATATTTCCTTTCTTCCTTTCACTGCTCCTCTGAAATACTCCTCTGTGTCTCATGTTTCCTGTCCATGTGTTGTCATATTTTCTTTCTTTTTTTTTTTGTGGTACTGGGGATTGAACTGACGCTTGCCAGGCAGGTGCTTATGCCGCTGAGCTAAATCCCCAGCCTGTGTCATCATACTTTGAACCGGAATAAATAAAAATTACTTATCTTCAGTGGACATTTGTATTCCCAACCATTCAGGATGCTCTGAGGGGAGGACTATTTTGACTCCAGGGGTTCAAGGTCTAGGGAAACTCTGAGAATCTGTTTCACAAACACAAAGCTGGGTATCGCTGTGCACTCCCGTAATCAATGCCCTCTGGGTGCCTGAGGCAGGAGAATACGGCGTGGTCAGTTTAGGAAGCTGCCAAGACCCTGTTTCCGAACAAAAACTGTACAAAAGGAGTGCAGATGTTGGTCAACCATAAAACCCTACATTCAGCCCCAGTCCTGCCAACAAAACACAACTGCCAGTGTCTCCATCCTTCCCGGGTCCCTCCCTCTGCATTCCACAGCACTGTCCTCAGGTCCCGCTGTCAGGACATTTGGGGCCCTAGTTCACCTAATCACCTTTAGGGATGCGGCTGCTGAGCGCTGGGTCCTGTGAACATCCTTAAAACTGCAGCTCTGTTCTTTTGATTCAGTGAATGTTTCTCCTCCTGCACTGAGTCACCCAGGGGCTCTGCATGGCCTTTGTCTACAGGTGGAGCTGGCCTGCCTGCCCTCCTCCTCTCCTTCCTTCCTTCTTTCTTGTAGCAAAACCTTTTGCCACAGGTCCTCTGCCAGAGGTCTTGGCAGTGGGGAGGAACACGTAGAACTCGCTGGTGGAATCCATGCATGCCCTGAGCTTGCCACTGGGGAGGGGAAGGCAGAGCACAGAAACCTACCAAGGTCGCCTGTGCAGATGCTCCCCACAGGGCCAGGAGACAGAGGCCGAGCTGCAAGGAAAGACAGGATGGAGGTGGGGAGGTGGAGATGTCAGCTGCAGCTGGTGACGGCGCAGGAGGCCACCTCAGGCTCTACCCAGGGCTCCTGTCCTCCCTGGGGTGGGAGGCACTTTGAGAAGAGCCGTGTGCAGGCTGCACCTCTGCTCAGACCTGGTCTTTAGGAACGCGGGACCAGGCTAATGGCATCCTGGGCTGGAGGGTGCTGCATCCCCGCCTCTTCTCCATGAGCTGACTCAGGGTCCAGTGATTGTGCTGCTGACCAGCAGCCTGCTTTCCTTCCCAGATACCTGGCCATTGACATGGAGGAGGATGACCAGATTCCTAAACTAGCCATCTTATGGTTTCTCTACAAATGGAATTTGAAAATGATTTCTCAGTTCCACAAGCTGCGCTACCAATTCATCTGCTGCATGGACTGGAACCTCAGGGTGACCCGAGAGGAGTGTGAGGAGGTGGGTGAGACGGGGCTGGTGGGGCCGGGCTGGATTGGGACAGAGGAACAGGGGATCCTGGGCATGTGTGACCAGGGACAGCTGGAGACTGGATATGCGGGTGGTGTCCCTGAGCTCTTCATCCACTCAGGGGGTGTTTTCCTTTCCAGATCCAAGCCTATGACCCTGCACTCTGGGTGTGGAGCCGAGATCGCGCCCTCATCCCTGGACCCTGGTACCCTGAGCACAGTGCCCTCTAGAAGGTGGGTGGGCGTCCTGGTGTTCAGACAGCACCGCTGGTGTCTATGTAGGCAATGTGGGGAGCCAGTGGGAGGTTCCTTTCATGATCCCCCACCCTGTCCACTGTCTCTACATCAGTAACCAGCCTAGCCCAGGCACAATTTTAGCCTCTCCCTGCCCCCTCCAAAGTCACCAACCAGCGTGACAAGCAGACACATATGGCCTGGGAAAGATGAGCTATGTGCTGGGACACTGCTCTGTTGGACCTCACGAACAGCGGATTGTCCATGAGGCACAGATTTAGTAGCTATCCTTCCTCTCAGAGCAATGGGTCCAGGGCAGTGTGGATGAGATACTGGTTTTTGTTTTGAGTGAACATCTATTGTCCAGCCATAAATTTCCATCTCCTGACAGAGCTGTATTTTCACCTTTTATCCTTCAGGGAGAGAAAAGAGAGGGATTTACACATAACAAATGAGTGCTTAAGGAGAAGCTGTCAGATGGAGCACGCTGCCTGTGCAGGCATGGGAGGGAATTATCCCTGACTGCATGAGCATCCCAGGCTGCACAGAGATGCGTTTCTTGTGCTTGAGTGCACTGGGAGGTTTCCTAGCTCATATTTCCACTTATGCACGAATCTCTACTCTCCATAACTACACATCTGCTCCTCAAGAATCAGGGTGTGGATATTTGTCAGAATGATGGAAAGTTAATAAAGACTACGTTCACGTGACTTCTTACAATAGCCACATTCCAGTATGTGTTTGGGTAGAGGAATAAGCAAGGATTTGTTGTAAATCATGTGCATGTAGTGAGACACTGGGGCTTGGGATTAGGCTCAGCACCTGGGCTTCTGTCACGATGTTGACACTAGTAATGGTGAGGTCACAGGCAGAGGTACAGACCTTAAATGCATGGCCTGCACTAAGGGCATCATAAGTGATGTGCCGTCTTCCCCAAGGGTCATTAGGTCCCTGAGAAGAACCACTCTCGCTATGAGGAGGGAGCTAGGTATAACCTGAACCATCTCACGTGATCTTTGGAATGTGAGTCGAAAACACTGAAAACCACAACTGGAAATGATGGCTCAGGATTGGGGCTAAGAATGAAGTGTGGAGATAGAGCTGGACCTGGATTTGGTCCAGACTATAGTTGGGCTTGGCATTTGGGTGTCAATCTTGTCATCTAGAAAATTGTCCCCATGGGTCTGACTTTGTCTCTTCTCTGCCTTCCAGTTCTCTGGTCCAGGAAGCAATGAAATACAGTCAGCACAGCATCCACCTGAGAGCTGGGAACCCATGGTGGGACCATAAGGGACGCGATTTTCTACAGCACCTTGCAAATTTTTGAATCCTCATTCAAACTTCCCTTGAATTAGAAGTAGAATATCTGCTGTTGTATACATTTGGTTTCCTGTAACCTGGACACTCATTGAAGATGGCCTATAGAGTCTCCAGTGGGGAGGAAATCATTTGAAATATAATGACAGATCCATAGGCATGTTGTAGATTTGTTTAGTGTAAGCTATATCAGTTTACTGTAAACATTTTGCCCATAGAAATGTTACTATGTATATTTGATGTAATACTGAGATGTTTCTGTCCTATTGTACTATTTTGATAGATAAGTTTAATGGATGGTTGTACATATATACTTTGTCTTTTAAAGAGATTTATGCCTTAATTACTATAGTTATGCAGACATTGTACTCATAGCCAGGGGCTGTGCCCTCAAACTCCTGCAGGTTGGCTGCTGAGTCTGACACACGAAGAAGCGGTGGGTGTAGAGGAAAGGCGTGTGCTCCTCGTGTTCCACACAGGACAGAGCCAGGCATTTCTTGTGGATGGAAAATAAAGATGACCTGTTGTCTCGCCTTTCTCCCTGTGTGTGTGTGATCCTGTGGTCTTGCTTATTTGCCTTCCCGTGACATTTCCTCCCCACGGGGCCGTGGTTATTTGACCTAATTCCTTAGCTGTGAAAGGGTGTCTCGACTTTTTTTCAGTACACAAAGTAAACACAAAAAGCATCAGAGATTTAAATGAGAGCAAGGGCCTGAAGTAGGAAAGCCAGGCACAGGGAGAAGGAAGCAAAGTCTGTGGTGGCCTGGACGATCACCCTAAACCCTAAAGGAAGGAAAAGCATCTGTCTGAACAAGGGGCACTGCCCGGGAATGGCCCATGCGAGGAGGGAGTGCAGGCCAGGGGGCTCCCTTTGCCATTCCGGTCACAGGGGCTTCTGTTTCATGACCTAAATGCCGATATGCATCTAGAAAAATGGAAATGACTGAAAAGAAATGGCGATATGGGAGCAATTTCTGAGGAAGGAGATGAGAGGAGAACAGGAGCTGTCCATAGATGGGGGAGAGGAAGGGCTGAGGGCAGATGCTGGAAGGCTTCAGAGCGGCATCTTGGGACCTGGAGCAGTGGAGAGCAGGGCAGCAGTCGGGAGGGGGCGGCTGGAAGCAACTGGAGAGCCAGAAGGAAGCAGGGCTGAAGAGGGGCAGAGAGAGGAGAGGAGAACGGGGACAGAGAAAGAGGCGGGATGGATGCAAAGGGTGTAAGCTGAGACATGGCATGAGCTGAAAGTCTGATGGGGGAGGGAGGGAGGGAGGGAGGGCGGGGGAGTGAGCAGAGCAGGTGAAGACGTGAAAGTTCTCAGGAAGGCAGAAGCCTTGCACTGAAGCCTGGTGAGCCATTCCTGAAGTTTCAGCACTCCAGGAGGCTGAGACAGGAGGGTTAGTCAAGCCTGGACTGTTCTGCAATATAGCTAGACTCTATCTCAAAGTATAAAAGTCAGAACAGGGTTGGAGATGTAGCTTAACACAAAGAATGAAGGGATCCTGGGTTCAATCCCCTGAACTGCAATCAAATAGGGAGAGAGGGGGTGAGAGAAAGAGAGAGAGAGAAAGAAAAAAGGAAGGAAGGAAGGAAGGAAGGAAGGAAGGAAGGAAGGAAAGAACGAAGGAAGGGACGCAAGGAGGCAGGCAGGCATCTTGTGGGCAGTTCTGAGACTGGCTACTTGTTTTCAGAAGCTTCTACTTGAGCTCTCTGTTCCCAGCCTGGGCGGAGCCTGCAATCACCTCACTCAGCTGGTTTTATAGGTATCGGGCTCCATGCTTAAGTCAAATTTCTATGCTCTAACTTTGCTGAAAATGCAGGACCCTTCCACTTCACTCCTGACCCCTGACCTAGCCTCTGCTGTCATCCCAGTTAGAAGATGCGGAAAACAACATCTAGAAAGCCACTTCTGACCAAGGGTACACACGTTTCTGGACTGTAATTCTCTTCCACAGACGGGCCACGGCACACATCACAGCACGGTACAGTCTAACTCCTTTTGTCGTTCCAACTTTTAGTCCACTGGAGACAAATGGTGAGAATCTGTCCCTTGTAAGAGGCAGGATTTTGTATTGGAATCTCTGAGGCACCTGCCCCCTCATCATACATGATATATGATTTAGATGCCGGCTCTTTCTGCTTCAGCCAAGTGTCCCCCTTCGGTCTGTATATATAGCCATGAATAAAGAATTTAAATTACAAGAAGTGAGTGTGGTAGCCCAGACCTGTGATCCCCACTTGGTGAGTCTGAGGTGGGAGGATCATCGTAAGTTTGGGTCAACCTGAGTTTCATATTGAGTTCATCACCAACCTGAACTACATAGCAAGACCCTGTCTTTAAAAACAAAAATAAAACAAAACAAAAAACCAGTTTAAATTACAGTATAGTAATAAATACTCTAAATAACTTAAAAAGAGGAATTTGTCCCAGGGGCCCGTGCCAAGGCAGCACATCCTGTTGGGAGCAGGTGGAAGAGCAAAGCTCCTCACCTATGGCTGCCAGGGAGCCGAAGAGAGAAGGAGCCCTGGGCTGGCACCCTGTTGACCGTGAAGGGCACGGCCCCCATGACCTCTCCCCCTCCTGCTAGGTCCTGCCTCCGATAGGCTCTGCCACCACACATCATGGCTATGCGGGGGACCCGACCTGACACAGAGCACTGTCACAGGCCCACCGTTTTCCGAATCCTAGCCAGGTGTTTTGGCAAATGCCTGAAGGCCCAGGATTTGTGGGCTGAGGCAGGGTAACCACCGTGAGTTCTTCACCAGCCTGGGCTACATAGTGCGTTCCAAGACAGGCTCAACTGCATACCAAGACCCTGTCTCAGACAAACACGCACACACCTGAAAGCAGCAACAACAACAAAAATAGAGTTCTTCAAGTCTTTAGAGATATAAAATTTATCATGCTGGCCCCACATGGTGATGCAAACCTATCATCTCACCGCTCTGGAGGCTGAGGCGGCATCATCACTATGAGTCTGAGGCCAGAGTGGGCTACATAGTGAGGTCAAGGCCAGCCCGAACCATATCAAAAAGAAAAAAAATCATGCTGAGTTGAATAGTTGGCATCTTTGCCTCACTGCACCTCCTTGCTGGGATCTCATTTTGTTTTACCTTTTGTTCTTTGAGACAGGCGTCTAACTCTGTAGTTCAGGCCGGCCTTGAACTCAGCAAAACTTCCACCTCAGCTTCCCAAGGGCTGGGATTACAAATGTACACCATCATGCATGGCTGGGATCTCATTTCCTTCTATTTTGGAGGCAGAGTCTGCCAGGATTAGTTTTAACATCTCCCTATTGGCCAGCTTATCCCAATTTTCAGAAAGCCGAAAGTCTGATTTACTTGGTATGGAAAGACTCTCAGCTCTTATTGTTTGCTGAGTGCAAGATTTCCTATGAGGTGTCTCACATTGCACTTTCTGATTCTTGAGATAAGGTGGAGTATTGATAATGTGTTGCAATCAGGGTTTGCAAGGAAAGCAAGACAATACAATTTATAGTACTATATGATGGTCACTCAGAGTTAACTACAAGAAGGTACAGGAAATCTGTTCACATACTAAAGACCTAAAGAATGTAGCTCAGGGCCTGAAACCCATGGCAGTATCCTGCATGAGTCCAGGTGAAGAACTAGAGCCCATGACAGTGCCCCCCATCAGTCCAACTGGAGGCCTAGAGCCCACG